GACTTTTTACCAAGTGATGCCTTTCTCTAGAGTCTGGTCCCTCCTATTGACATGTTTAAAGAATGTGAGGTGAAATCTTAGTCATCCTTCTAAGGAGAATACTGCATATGCTTCTTCCAAGCTAGATTTGTCTGTTTGATTTGGAACTTTATAGTAAATTCAACATTCTTCTCCAACAAGCCTCATTCACAGGCTTAAATTCTTCTTTAGTCTTTCTGATTTATTTTTCAGGTTTTACATCTATTTGAGGTTTGAAAATAAAATGATTTGGGTCACCAAATTAAGGTCACACCTTAGTCCTTAACTTTTTTTTAACACTTGGCAGAAGTATTTTGCAACAGATTTTTCTGAATTTGTTTCATTTCTTGACTATGGCTTCCCAGAGCTTTGTTGTGGATCTAAGTAAGATGAAATCTTGACAATTTCAGTGTTTCCCTTGCTTATCATGATGTGATTATTGGTGCAATTGTGAGGATTTTTGTTTTATGTTGAGGTATCATTAATTTTGAAGGTTGATGTGTGGTTTTGACCTTCTTCAGTAAGTGCTTCAAGCCCTCTTTACTCAGCAAGCAGGATTGCATCATCAGCTTAACACATATTGCTAATAAGTCTCCTCCCAGGTGTGATAATACGTCCTTCTTCATACAGTTTCTTAAAGAAAGTTAATATTTTCTTAAGCTTCTGAATTGTGTAAATTGCATTTCTTTTTCAGATTATTTCGAAAAACGCCAGAATGATGCGGGTCTCTATGTACTTGTGCCAATAATTATTTCCTCTTCAGTTTTACTATTTGGAATTTTACTACTCTCACAACAAAGGTATTGTATTTGATGTTAGGAATCTTTATGACAGAAACCCTTAATCATATTTAAACTGGATTTAGACTCTGAATCAGAAACATTAGAATAGTCTAAACATCTCTAAATGCAGTCAATATGCAATTAAGATGTCTTGAAAAGAAAAGGTCAGTTTAAAGAAAATCACATTGTTTTAGTAGGACCTTTGTCTCACACTTTGGGCATGTTGTTAAGAGAGGCTAGTTCTTGAATGAAGACATCATGTTTGCAAAGATGGAGGGTCAGTGAAAGAGAAGAAGACTTTATGGGATGGTTTAACACAGTGACTATAACAATGGGCTCAAATCTATCAGACATGATGAGGAAGGCACAGGAGAGGGCAAGTTTCAAATCCATTGCTCACAGGGTCATTGTGAGTCACACTTAACTTGACAGCATCTAACCAGCAATGTGGAAGAATTATCTATATATACACAAATATGCACAGACATATTAAAAAAATGAGTCTTGTAATAGGCAAATATCTTATTATAAGACATCCTGTTGGGAAAAGTGGAGAGTTAATGAAAGAGAGGAAGACTCTCAACAAGTTGGGTTGACAGGATGACCACGGAAATAGGCTCAATAAATACACCAGAAATGATGAGGATGGCACAATAAAAGGCAAAATTCTAATCTGTTGTTCACACAATCACCATGAATATAGTCTACTCGGTGGCTTAACAACAATAGGCAGATTACTCTTGGAAGCAGCAAAAGGCTTTTAGAACTCTTCAATTTAGATCAAAGACTGTTATGCTAAATATGTATGTGGAATTGTGAATTCATTTATGGTTAATAGACAGTCTTTTTTTAATTATTAATTTCAATGAAAATTTAAAGAGACTTTGGATTTCCATCCATTCATTGTTGCACTTTTCTTCCCTCCCAAATTCCCCCCTCCCCCAGTACACTCCCCTCTGGGAAAAGTAAAAAAAAAAAATCTTTCATTGTTTTACAATCCCTCCCTCCAGGTCCACTCCATTATATAGCCTTTACTCTGGACTCCCCTTGTGACAAAAATGCCTAACCACATATCCCTTTTAAACAGTTTTCTCCCTAATCTGTTTCAATGTAGTATACATTATTTAACCCTTCTTACTCAGTCTCCCCTCAACCTAGATGTCAGTCCTATTCTACAACAGTTGCACCATATAGCATTTGTCCCTTTGTGACTGAGATACCTCACTCAGCATAATGTCCTCCAGGGTCACCCATTTTGAATAATATTACATGAGTTCCTTGTTTTTCATGCAGTATAGTATTCCATTGTGTGAATATACCACAGCTTCTCTATCCATTTGTTTGTTGATGGGCACTTAGGTTGTTTCCAACTCCTTGCTATTGTGAACAAGGCCTCTATAAATATGAGTGTGCATGACAGTCTTATTTTTAAGAATCAGCACTGAGTGGTTCAAGTCTATTTGATTTGTCAGAGAACCTTGGGTGTTCTGGAAAATTCTGTGATGCCAAATCACTCTGTGCTGATTCTGAGCTGTTGGAACTAATGAGATCATGTCACACATGCCAACTTTCTATATAAACTTTTATCCTTCAACAAAAATGAGGGAAAGGAGATTTTGAGAATTTAAATTCATCATTACTCAAATGAACTGGTAGCACTGTGTCAAGTAGAAAGGTTTCTGAAACTCACTTGCAGGTTTTATTTTTTTTTTAAATAAAAGCACATGTTATTTTATTGTACTCTTTTGTGTGTGTGTGTGTGTGTGTGTGTGTATGTGCATATGCATGAGTGTGTGTATGTATATATATATGTATATATATGTGTGTGTGTGTGTGTATATATATATGTATATATATGTGTGTGTGTGTGTGTGTATATATATATGTATATATATATATATGATTTTTAGCAGCTGTAGATTGAGCAAACCCCTATTCATTTCATTATTCCAAGAGAATATGGCTCTTCCCATCTGTGTCACATGTTAATTTCCACAATATTTCTTTTTCGCAGAGCTGTTGCATAATTAATAAACTATAACATAGTGTAAATATAGCTTTTATATGCACTCAGAGACCAATATAGTCATATGACTCACTTCATTGCAATATTTTATTTTATTGCAGTGATCTGAAACCAAATCCACAATAACTCTGAAGTATGTCTATATTTATTTTCTCTGAGTACAGTGTTTAGCCTAGCACCAAGTATAGAACTTTCAATAAAGGTTGACTATTTTTGTTCATACAGTAATTATTCCCTTTGGTCTATACTTTAAGGAACTTTAGTAGCACAATGTTAAACACTTGGCTGCTAATTGAAAGATTAGTTCTTCAAATCTACTAGCCACTTCACAGCGGGGAAAAATAGATATGATGACCTACTGTCACAAAAATAATAGCCTAGGAAGCCCTATGGGAAGTTTCAACTCTCATAGCTGGTAGCTTTGGGTTGGAATTAACTCAATGGCAAACAACACCAATACAGAGAACTTGGTGGAAGTGTCTATGGTGTAATATGTGAAAATTAATCCATTGAGGGAGATTATTTTCTATTTTGTATATCTTTCAGTTCCTAATATTTTTACCATTAATGTTTTACTCTAACACCTCCTTTATCCTTTGCAGAATGAAGAAGTTGTTTTGGGAAGATGTTCCAAATCCCAAGAATTGTTCCTGGGCACAAGGACTTAATTTTAAGAAGGTCTTATTTTTCAGTTTTTTTTTTGTAAAATTCAGAATATTTACAGTTACATTGTAGATTACATATGATTTATAGAACCTTAAATATTTAACATTTTGAAAGCTTTTTATTATTATTTCAGTGAGTTCTTTAAAACTACACTATATTTGTAAGAATAACATGATGCAGGGATTTCAAAACAGGAAGAGAGAAAATTCATTAGGTAATTCAGCATGTGAGATATATACCTTCTTTCTGTGCCACAGTACATAGATAAGTAAATACGAGAATATAACAGATCAGATCCTATACAAAATATATCTAAGTCCCATTTTTGGTATAAATTTTTTTTCCTTGGGGAAAGTGTTGGAATTAATATATTTAATTCTTAGAATTATTTTTGTGATTATTTAAATAAATAAAAATACGTAAACAGTCCTATATTTTGGCACTGCATCCTAAAAACTGTGATGACTATAATAATGTATTTATACAGTTAGTTCCATTCATGCTAAAGTACTTTATAAATAATAAGTTAGCTAGAACAAAATAATTAGTACTTTTTATTATCACATAATTTCTCAAAAAGTTCTAAGTTTCATAAATATTTTACTCCCATAATTTTCTTTGATACTTATACATGAATCTGGTAAAATAAAATTTAAGCTTTATATGACATACAGATATAATTTTCAAAATAATTATCAGAATAATTTGGTGATTATTCTGCAATCAAAATGATACTGTCTTTATTATTAGCCATTTGCTTAAAAATTTTCAGTGGTTTCCTTCAGTTAAAAGTTAAAGAGTAATTCCTTTAGGTTGTGCTTAAATACTCCCTCTAGAGTTTGTTGAGGTGACACATCCAATTGTAACTTTCCCTTGGCCTGCTGTGCCTTTATTATTTCTTTTCACCAGCACAGAACTCTCTTCAACAATGAAGAACTCATGGTTAGCCCATGTTTCCTCAAGTTTTACTTTAACAAATATAGTTCAAAGCGACTACTCTGCTCTAAATATAAAGAGCACTTAATGGCTTAATTTTTATAGTGCGATTGGTCAAAGACTGTGTTTCCCATTACAACCATTAGTTGAACTTCTTTGGCTATGTGCAAGGTATTAAATGAGAAGTTTACTAAATAATTACTTATAATTTTAGTAGTCCAGCTATTAGAGTAAGTTGTTATTTATATGTAAATAACTGAGACAACTATTGTCGCATCCTTCTGTATTTTTCACTTCAAATCTTAGTGTTTCTGTTTCTTCTATAAAATGAGGATCAGACTGCTTACCTCATTGGGCAGTTCTGAATAATAAAGAAGATAGTACCTGTCACATAGATTTATCTCAGAAAATAATAGGTTTCTTTAAGTTACTTTGTTATTTTCCTTATTTTGTTCTACTAGTCTTTCACTTACCCTGTGGAGTACATTCTATTATCTCCATTTTATAAAAGAGAAAACCAAATTATAGACTGTAATTAGCTGTTTGGGTTTACTTACTCATCTGTCTAACCCTGAAGTCTGTGCTGTCAGTCTCTTTCCTCCATGGCAATAACATTCGATTCTTCTTTCTTATGTTTATTATAATAACCTACAGTAAGAAAGACATTTTGTCTTGAAATCTAGTGTAAATATAGGTAGAGATGGCAAAATGAAGAAAAGGAATAAAGATGACACATGATGCTGTTAGTAGTCAAGTTCCAAGAAAAGATTTTAAAATCTTGCCATCTACAAATTAGAATAATTAGACAGTTGAATTAAAGAAGTATGAGTAGTTGGATTCAAAGTAAGATACACAGAATTTGTCCTCCTTGGTCTCTCCAAAAGAGTTAATTTATTTTCTCATTTGTTCACTTGATTCATTCATCTGAGTACTAGTTATTGGCAGTTTATTCTGAACTGTTTACTGTGCTAGACCCTAAAGTTATAATAATGAGAATAACAGAAACTCTTGAAGTATGTAGTTGAGTGAGTTGTCTGACTCATAGCTTTCTAAAATTGAGCATCCAAATTAAGACAGACTAGGAAGAAGGATTGGCCATCCACTTCTGAAATATAAACAGACCTTAAAAAACCTTATATACAATAAAGCATATTTAGAGTAGACTAACAGATATGGCAACTGAGGCTGAGCCCTCGAACTTGGAAACATAAAGGAGGAGGACCAGTTGTAAGCAGAAACTAATGATTAGAATGTGGAATGTGAGAAGTATAAATGTAGGAAAATGGACATAATTAGGAAAAAATAGAACACAAAAATATTGACATATTAGGTATTGGTGAAATGAGATTGATCAGATGGGACATTTTGAATAAGATGAACATAAGATCTACTACACTGGAGATAAAAAGGATAGAAAAAACAGGGTTGCATTATAGTTAAAAGTGGAATTTCTAGATCCATCTTAAAATACAATATTGTGAGTGACAGTATAATATCCATGCACATAACAGGAAGACCTATAAAACCACAACCATTCAAATTTATGGACCAAAAACCAGAGCTAAAGAAGAGGAAATACATTATTTCTGCCAAATTCTGCAGTCAGGAATAGATTGATCATGCAACCAAGATGCATTAATAATAATGTGTGACTGGAATTAGAAAATTTGGAACTGGGAAGAAGGATCAGTAGTTGGAAAACATGGAATTAGTGACAGAAATGAGTCTGGGGACAGAATGATAGAATTCTGCATAAACAATGATTTATTCATAGCAAATGCCTTTTTATAAGAAACATAAACGCAGTGTATATGTATGGATTTCACCTGATGGTATCTACAGGAATCAGATCAATTGCATTTTTTTTAAGGAATTGTTGGAGAAGTTAGATATCAGCAGTAAAACTAGGCCAGGTGCAAGATGGACGAACAGACTATCAACTGCTAATATGCAAGTTCAAATTAAAGCTGAAAAAGGTCAAATCATATCCACAGGAATAAAAATTTGACCTTGAGTTTATCCTCCCTGAATTTAAAAGCCAACTCAGGAGCAGGTTTGAGGCCTTGAACACTATTGAATGCAGACTAGATGATCTGTGGAAAGATATCAAGAATATCATCCATGAAGAATGCAAAACATTACAAAGACACAGGAAGAAGAAAAGGCCAAAACAGATGTCAGTTGACACTGAATATTGCAGTAGAGTGCCGAGAAGCCAAAGGAAAGGGAAGAAATCAAGAAGTTAAGGAGCTGAATAGAAGATTTTAAGGGCAGCTCGGGAAGAAAAAGTAAAGTATTATAATGGAATGTACAAGGAACTGGGATTGGAAAAGAAAAAGGACTAAACTCACTCAGCATTTCTGTTTGCTTTCTTTCAGTTTTTTATTATTTAAAGGACAGCTTCTTTATGGTCATGCTAAATACTGTATTTCATTGCAAATGAAAAGAGCTAAGCTACTGATTATACCATAGGCTAAAGACAAAGGCAATAAAGCTGAAATATATCCTTAGAGCATGCCAAAGCATATGGTACACAAAAATACATGTTCCTCTCTTAAGACCATAAGAACTGAACAACTTAATCTTCTCTTCCAGGAAATCAGCAGTCCTCAACACAGCTCAGCAAAATATTTAAGATTTATGATAATAACAGGTACTGCAGTGGCACTCTGCATGGTTCTCCACTTTGGTACTTCCCATTACAGTGCCTTTGTAAATGCTTTGTCCACACAGCAAGTGGCCTCTGAGGCGATGTTCTTTGGTACCAACATTGTCTCCTTGGACCTCACTTGAGTGGGGCATGTTTTGGAGAAGCAGTAGCCCATGCACCTAAATTGGGGTGCCCCACTTGGAAAAATATTTGTTTCCTTCACCTTGAATTCTGGGAAATCTTGCATTGCAAATTCTCCATCAGGAAAAGAATGGAGGACATGCAGAAACACAGTGTGGCTAGAATGACATCAGCATATTTTTTGTAACAATCCATGACTCTTTCTCAGTCTCAGAATCTCTCCGATCACCTCTGGCTCCTTGGGGACACTTTTGACAAGTGATCCCTGCACAACCACTTCCAACCCAGCCCAGTCATGCCCTCACTCAGCATCTCTTAAGGTAAAGGAACTAAGAAATAAATTCAAGTCATGAGTTGTAATGCTTGAGGATGCTATGGGAAGAATATTGAATGAACTCAGATGCATTAAAAGAAGATAGAAGGAGTATACAGAGTCTCTGTACCAAAAATAATTGGCTGACAGGAGAATTTAGAAAAACAACATAAGATCAAGAAGCAATGGAGATGAAGGAGGAATTCAAGCTGCTCTGAAGAACTTAGCAAAACATAAAGCCTTAGGAATTTATGTAATACCAATTGACATATTTTGACAAACAGATGCTCCCCTGGATGTGCTCACCAGGTTGTGCCAAGAAATCTGGAGGAAAACTACCTGACCAACTGACTGGAAGAGATCCATATTTATTCTCTTTCCAGAAAAAGGTGACCCAACAGAGTGTGAAAACAGTATCACTAATATCACATATAAGCAAAATCCTGCAGAAGATTACCCAGAAATGACTGGAATATTGACAAAGAACTACTAGAAATACAAGCTGGGTTTTGAAAAGGTCATGCCACTAGGAATATTTTAGCTGTTAGATAGATTTCAGCAGAAAGCAAAGAGTGCCAGAGGAATGTCTATCTGTGTTTCATTGACTATGCAAAGGCATCTGACTATGTGTATCACAAAAAGTTGTGGCTAACCTTGAGCGGGAGGATCCCAGAACACTTGATTTTGCTTTGGAGAAACCTGTACTCGGACCAGGAAGCAATACCTCTCAAGAAGATATATTGATACGGTGAGTGTAATATGTGTGGGCATGTAGGCGATTGTGAGGATGGTGCAGGATGAGGCAAGATTCTGGTGTGTTGTTGAGAGTGTGTTATGAAAATGGCATGGCCTTACCTACTGAAAGTTATATGCATCAGTAATTGCCCATCTTTCTCCCATGGAACAGCTGGTACATTTAAACTACCTGCCTTTAGATTGGTAGTGCCACTTCTTACCATTAAAACACCACTT